AACAACGAGCGGAGCGCCGGGTGGCTAAAGCACAGCAAGTTGGCACAGTAGGGGGCACAGGTGGTGCATCAGCCAGTCATCTCGGTCATCTCAGTCAGTCGACCCGTGGCACTTGGGTCTGCCCCGTGACAACCTGCCAGCGGGCGTTCGACACTTCACGTGGCCTCAAGGTGCACATAGCCTGGCACAAGCGTTGTGGTGACGTCACCGCCACTTAATGGCGGTTGCTGTTGTTGTGTGGGTCCATGTTTGTGTGTAAATCCATGTGTGTGTGTCTTATGTATGTGTGTGTTTGTGTAAGTCGATGTGTTTGTATGTTTGTGGGTCGATGTCTGTGCGTGTGTGTAAGTCGATGTGTGTGTGTGTCTTTTTCGCCCGGGCAACGCTGGGTACTTCCCGCTAGTAGGTTATATATAATGATCAGTTTAAATTACTTTATTTTATTCTATGTCTTACTATTTTTTTTTTCTATCTACATGCATTATGTATTTGCTTTCATTTGTACATGATACCAAGTGGGGGAAAATCATGCAGAATTCGTTAAAGAGGGAGGGGGTATTTTGGATCCAAGGACGCAATCATATTTTATCCACGAGGTCTGTATGTCAAATGCGGTTTTGCCCAACACGGCGTTTTCCAGGAACATAACCCTCGCATTCAGCGAGGTTTACATGTAATGTTTCTTCAATCAATAAACTACAGTAACATTTAATATATCTGGAACTGGCTACTAAGCCAAAATGTTCCTAATACTTAGTGTTTGTTTAAGCAAGTCCATCGTTTCACTCATAACGTACGATGTAAAACTAAACATTCAGAAATATGCAACAACGTAATGTACAAATATTGAGAATGTGATGAGACATCATGTATTTCAGTTTGTTGAGGTCACACCATAACTCTTTTTTTTATATATCTTCCGTGCTTGTGTTTCTCAGCCGCTAACTAGATGGCATATCATTATTATTACTATGCTGATTTACTTAGGAAAATCTCACTGAGTCCCAAGACTGTTTAACACGGAGGCTTGCGCGACCAATATTATCCATAAAGGTGTTTTTGGGTTAGATCGCGTAAATATAAATGTGTCGTTAAACTGAAACAAGAGGATTTCTCCACAACTGTGGCTGTCACCTGATGATACTAGGTGTAATTACTGGCAAAACGTCATAATCGAATTGTAATTGTTGTGGGGGTTTACTCTCCAACACACCGGTTAGTGCTGTACTAGTTACGAATTGGCATGTTTTGTTTACGTGACAAACCTTACTAATTGGCTGTGTCGGGTGGTGGCGGGTTTAAAGACACTATTATATTTATGTGATTTAACCCAAATAAACCTCTATTATGGATTCCAAAACCGTTTCAGGAGGGTCCTGTTGAGTTTTTGGATAACAACTCTGCTGCTGTGTGTAATGCCAATTTAATAATTTGCAGGTCATTTTTCAGCAATGTGATGTTTGGCCAATACCTGTAGCATTGTATGTGTTTGAGCTATGGAATGAAAATGGAGACCTCGGGAGAAAACTCATGCAGAAGAGGGGGAAAACATCCAAACTCCACTTACACACCCTGCAGAACAGGGGCAAAACAAACCAATATATACATTGAAAGGAGCCCGAGGGCAGAAATCAAACCCAGGTCCGTTTTGTTGTGAGCCATGAGTGTTTCCACTGCGTCACCCTGCCACCCATAACAACTGACATCTGCGGAAAACAGTTATATGATCACACATGAAGAATGGAATACACAAACCCTACTTCCCCTCTCAATGGAGAGACCATATAGGAATGAGCTGCCACCACCAAAGGGGCATGTGTGCCAAAGGGCACGTCAGAGACAAGCCAGAGATGGGGAGAGTGCATTAGAATTGGAGGTTGTGAGCAGTGTGAAAGGGAACATTGTAAAATAAATGCGGGAAAGGTGTCAATGACCCGGCGTCACTCAGTGCAGACGAATGAGACATGGCTCTTGAGCAGCAAGCCGCAACAGAGTTATGCATACAACGCATATCCAATCGTCACACATCCGCCCTGACCAATTCACCGCCCCCACCCAGTGCAAGATATGTGCACCGTGTTACTGTCTGTTTCTATACGTATGCATGTTTAACTTCTTTCGCACTGTATTGATAAGGAAGCCATTGGAGCTATGCACTTTAAATCTAGATTGGAAACTAATTTATTTAGAACTGCTTTTGTCTTTAATTTGTTGTCCTTCCTCAGTACCTCCGATTAGCACAGTTGGCTATGTATGGTGCAAAAGAAGTTTAACGTACACACGTTTGTAGCCAGCCATGCTAATCCGACCTCAAATCCAACCTTTTCCCAGTAAAGCCTCACTGAGTCTCAAGCCTCTTTTTCAGGAGACTCCAAACTTTTTCAGTAGGGGCGATGTTGCTCTGTGTAATCCCAATTGATTTGCAGGTAACATTTCAGCATGAGGATGTTTCACCAATACTAGTTAAATTGCATGTTTTTCAGCTATAGGAAGAAACCAGAGAACCCGAAGGAAACCCAAAAAGAACAGGGCTCATAAAAACTCCACACAGAAAGATGGCCGAGTCAGGGATTTAACCCAGGCCCTTCTTTGTGTGTGGAATGTTCATTTTAAGAGCTGCCCCACACTCTCCACACCTGTTCAACTCACGGCTATGTTAAAACATCAATTTTGGTCCACGGCCCAGCAGCAGCATGAACAAAGTCAACTTTTAACCTTCTATATAGCTGTACTGGTCATGAAAGCGTTGAATTCCAATGCAAGCCGACAGGAAGAATTAGATGGGTTTATAAACCAGCACACTAACTTATATGTAAGGAGTCGGAGAGTGTCGGAGACTGACGTTTAAATAAACCTGCCCTATCATTTAAACTGTTGCGCCAGGAGGGGCATGTATAGCAAGATGTGCATTTGAATGGCTGCTGATGGTGGTGGTGGGATGCAGCAGGCCTTGCGCATTATTGCCTGCGGTTAAAACTCCCATGGGCACACAGCCAGTGGCTAGCCAGAGTCCCTACATCAGAGCTAGACCACTCTTGAAAGTTACAATGCACAAGTATTTTAAATGTTAGTTTAACACATTGGTTTTCGCAGCTAATATTACGATTCATAAGTGATTTTTGGGTTGGACCACGAAACGATCTGACCAAATCTGTGCCAGAAAGAACCCTTCACCACGCAGCACCACGTAGCACTACGCAGCACCACGCAGCACAGCCAAACAAATGTTTTTCTTACCCCGTGCCCCTACTGGACATCTGTGAAAAAGAGCTTTATAGCTCATCGGATTCCTCCTGCAGTCTAAATAAATATATTTAGATTCCGTCACGTTTATAAGCTTTTAACGTGCCAATTCGGATTATTTCAGCTGACCAAAGAACATCGAATATAATGTAGCAATCATATATAATGTTTAATTCGAAACTACGTCAAACACCATCAGGATAAAATCAAGGAAGTTAAAGTAAAAATCCAGTATGTCATACAAATAATTCATACTCTTTGGTTCTTTCGGTAAAGTCATGTAGGTAGAAAAATAATAGATCACGACTTTTCGATCGCAACACAAGCAATTGCCATCAGGTGGGACAACCACAGCAAGAAAAAACTGCTGAAGCAGGCGAGAGATCTGCCGTGGCACGAGGTTATATAGGCCTCAGCAGTAGGGGGGGAGAGAGAAGGGGGGGGCTGTGTTGGGTGGTATATTTGGTCAGATCGTTATGGGGCCTAACCCAAAAATAAATTATGAATTTTGTTAAATTTTCTTAATATTCTCTATTCTCAAACCATTATCGCTGAAGATGTTCAGGCAAGATAGTAATAGGCCAGACTCCACAGCAATATTACCTTAAAAAACAATAAAGCATACCATCCATTACTGATGTGTTAATCACTACAACATTGTCTTGTACAGCACAAGGTTAAGTGATAACAGTAATGTCCCTGACGAACATCAAACAAGGTGAAGAAATAGCTGAGCCATATCGATTCTGTATACCCATGGTATAAGTGTAACTTTAAAAATACCTGCAAATATGGAAAATTAAAGGTATCATTTAAACAAATAGGAAACACAATAATTGCCATGTCCGAGCTCAGAATAAAGTTTGTGCTTTAGCACGTTAAGGACCAGCCTCTACGTAAAGAAAGCCCTTGCTGCTTTGGGAGACATAGCTCAACAACTTAACGCATTCACCATTCGTTGAATACATTTATGGTTCAAATCTGGCAGGCTGCCCTGGTTATTACTGCAGGTGTATTAAGCGTAAAGTATTTTGTGCTATCTGCTTCAGTGGATGATAACGGTCCTTTGACGTCATTCAAAACGAGGAGGGCATTGTGTGCCGGAGTCACAGTCCAATTTTTTTTTTAATAAAATGCAAATTACTCAAATTGCGTTTTCCAGCACTACTGGCACCATCTATAAAACATAGCACGTTCCTCCGTGCAGGCCCTGCACTATAAGAATGGTGCGAATACAAATGTAGTAAACTATTATTGTCACGTGTTTGTAATGGGGGTGTGATAACTACCTCACCATCGATGCATTTCACTACTTTATTCCTACTACTCCTATCATTCCGCTTGTTATCCATGGAAGCATGACTAAATCTTAAGACTTTTTCAGGAGGGTCCTGCCGAGTTTACGAAGTAGTGAGAAATGTTGCTACTGTGTGCAATTCCAATTGGTAATTTGCAGGTAATTTTTCAACATTGCAATGTTTGGCCAATATCATTTACATTGTACATGGCTTTAACTATGAGAGGAAACCAGAGAAAATAGAGGAAACCCCTGCAGAAAAGGGAGAACATACAAACTCCACGCAGAAAGGCGACCGAGTCTGGAATCGAAGCCAGGTCTCTCTTGCTGCGAGGCGCGATTGCTTCCATTGCTCCACCGCCATTCATCCCCATTGTAGTTTACCACGAAAGGCTACAAAGCAACAGAGCACACTTCCAGCAACGAGTCGTGCAGCAAGTGAACGCAGCAAAGCCAATACCTGTCCAAGCAGGCGACGCTGAGACACTTCTCATCGGTGGCAGCGTTTGGATTGGCCGGCGGGAGCACTTCCTCTGGAAGGGGCAAGGTGACCGGCTTGTCGTCACCGCGGCCATCATCGCCGCCGTCACCACCGCCGTCGTCTTCTTCCAAGATGGTGTCGATGAGGGACGACGGGGAGAGCAGACCGCTGCACACCGCCTCGGCGGAGCCCAGCGGAATCTCGGCGACCTCATCCTGCGGCTCCAAGGGCAGCAAGTCGTCAGGGCCGAGCACCGGATTTGGGCTGTGAGGCTCGTCCTTAATGATGACCGGTCTGCAACAAAACAATAATTCCATTTTGCCTTGATTTGAAGCTTTCGTGACTGCAGGAATCCATACTCTTTGGTTCTTTCGGTAAAGTCACGTAGGTAGAAAAATCATAGATCACGACGTTTCGATCGCAACACAAGCTATCGTCATCAGGTGGGACAACCACAGCAAAGAAAAACTGATGAGGATTGCTTGTGTTGCTATCGAAACGTCGTGATCTATTATTTTTCTAACTACGTGACTTTACCGAAAGAACCAAAGAGTATGTATTCCTTTTTGTCTTTCTGACTAGATAACCACATTTTAATTATTATTTTTATTATTGGTTTTGCTTTTTCAGGAGAGTACTGCCAATTTTCACAGGAAGGGATTAAGTTGCTGTAGGCAATCACAACTGAGTAACTGTATTGCTCAGCATTGGGATATTTGGCTAGTTACACTGCCTGTGTTTTTACCTTTGGGAGGAATGCAGAGTTACCACGATTGTGGTCAAAGTCTCCAAGCATGATTACCACCGTAGCCCTTTAAAATTGGTTCAGTCAATCAGGCAGCAGCAAGAAAGGCCTGTGTTCGATTCCCAACTCTGGTGCCTTTCTGTGTGTAGTTTGTTTTTTGTTCCACTCCATTGGTTTCTTCCGGGTTCTCTGGTTTCCTCCAATAGCTATGAAACGCATTCCATGTAACCAGTATTGGCCAAACGTCCCAAAGCTGAAAGGTACTAAAATGCAATAAAATTAATTAAAGAAGTGCAATAAGCTGAATGATTGTGAATAATAATGGATCTGTGCAAGTCCTCACGTATACTCCTCGTAGTCGGAGCCGCCGGCTGAGGGGCTGCTGTGAGACATGTCCGTGATGTCCGAGATGATGGGCCCACTCGACGCGAGGGTCTTGTCACCAAATCCGTTACCAGATGAAGTTGTTACCTGCAAAGAAACATGTAACTAATTTGTAGCGTGCATACCCAGGAAAGCTAACGGAGCTCTAAAGCTCTTAATCTGCTCTTGCACACTCACCTGATATGTTGGACAACACCGCGTGTGGCTACACGAGACCCCACCACAACTAGTCAATCTCCCGATTGACTCGTGGTGGAGTAGACATTATTATACCGCTGGGTGGACAGAGGCGTGGTGGGAGACTGAATGGAACCGCCATCCTCTGGATTGCAAGTCCAATGTGCCGACTGTTATACCTCGTCAGCTCCTAAACATGTTATGGTTATTGGTCTAGATATTTCTATTTGTACAGCAAACTGGCAATTTATGACAAGTGCTTATCATACGAATGAAGTTGGTGAGACACTGCCTCTCCAATACATACTTCACTTGGAATGTAACATTCTACAAACAAACTGAGGGAACCCCAATGGGTTCTCCCTTTATCTCCCGTTGTGGCCAACATTTTCATGGAAAAATTTGAGACGGACACCATCCATGCATCCACTCTACGCCCGTCCTTGTGGAAGAGGTCCGTGGGTGCCACGTTTGTCATCTGGCCACATGGCCGACCGACTCTGAAACAATTTCTCAACCACATCAATTCCATACACCCAGCAATCAAAATCACCATGGAGGTAGAAAAGGATGGCATGCTACCCTTCTTGGATGTCTTAATCAAAAGGAGACCAGATGGCTCAATGAACCACTCTGTCTAAAGGAAAGTAACCCATACTGACGCCTACCTACCCATCCATCCCAGAAGAATTCCCTCATCAAAACGCTACACCATAGAGCTCAATGTATCTCCGACCATGAACACCTAACCAGTGAACTCAAACACGTACATCAAGCTCTCAAGGCGAATGGATATTCTGACTACACAATCCGCAAAGCCATCACCCCCAACCGTGATGAAGGAACCATCTTAAGATACAATCAAAACCATCACCGTGCCATACATAGCAGGAATAACCAAAAAGATTTCCAAAATCTTGCATAAACACAAGATCAAGGTCCGATTTAACACAGTACATAAAATTCGTGACCTGATCCCATCTGTGAAGGACAAGATTCCTGACATGCAATATCCCGGTGTCTACAGACTAAGCTGTATCTGCGGCAGCAGTTACATTGGGGAAACCATTGGGGAAACCAATGTAACTGCGGACCGTGTTCGTGAACACAACGCAGATCTGAATCACGGCAGGACCAAAACTTCTGCCGTAGCTGATCATTACTTTAATGCGGCTGGCTCACATGAAATTGATTTCTCTAAGATGATGGTACTTTGCAAGCCAACTGGCTATCAACAAAGATTTGTTCACAAAGCCATCCATATATATAGAGACAAACACAATTTCAACCGAGATGAAGGTTTTAAACTCAGCAATCATTGGCAAGATGTCATCAACCACTTTGGATCATGACTTGAATTTGTGTTTCCTTTTCAACCTCTACCATCAGCAGTGTGGATGGGTGTCGCGAGGTGCAATTCCCCACCCCCCATCTCTACCGCTCCCTCCCCCATCTCTGCTCCACCCCCTCTCTCTCCCCGTATCTCTGCCCCATTCCTCCCCCCCCATTTTCTGATGGGTGTTACCAAGTGCAATTCCTCCCTCCTCCCATCTCTACCCCCCCTATCTCTGCCCCACCCCCTCTCTCTCCCCCTGTCAATTCCCCCCCTCCCATCTCTCCCCCACCCCCATATCTGCCCCGCCCCCTCTCTCTCACCCTGTCTCTTGCCCTTTCCCCCGCCCGTTCACTCTGGAGCCCTCATAAGCAGCTACATTTGGAGGTTTGCCCCCTCGTTTCTCGCCACCTGATGAAGACCACTTGTGTTGCGATCGAAACGTCATGGGTTTTTTGCTTTTAATTTAGATTTTAGTTTTCTATCTCAGTGACTTCACCGAAAGAATCAAGAATATGAATTCATGCAGTCACGAAAGTTTTAAGTCTACACTAACAAGTACTCCAAAAATTTGTAATTTTCCGGAAACATTTTTTTGTTGACATGATTTAACTTCTTATATTTAATGATATACCCATCAGGAAGCACTCAATTTAGAAGATTCTGTTCTTTATTTTTCTATAAAGAACAAAAATTTATGGGGGAAAGCTCCTATCTCTTCCCTTTTTCGAATTATTCGCATTTGAACATCATAAAGTGTAGTTTTGACATTAAAAACCGCTTAAATCCGAAATATCTAAAAATAAATAAAAGACAGAAGAATGGTTCTCAATTTCATTTTATTTGCTGTTTAGCGCTCTCTCAAACGAAAAAACCCCTAAATCTTATATTTTGAACGGTTTCTGAATGACACGCATAAACATGTTCACGTGGCACTCAAAATCGACATTTTGGGGCTTTGAAATGAAAAGGCTCGGATTTTTCCTGTTTTTTGTGTCCTAAAAGCTACCTATCTACCACATTTCAGCTGTCTACCTTGTTGGGAAGTACGCTAGATATTTTTGAGACATACATGCATATATACATACAGATTAAGGTCTTTATTTATATAAAGTAGAGCAATTTTGAAAAGCTTGTAAACAGCGAATTTGTAAGCAGTGTCTTCATCCAGTAATCGCAGTACGGTAACAATGTTTGTTTCATTTCTCTATTGCTCCAAAAAGCTTAAAATGCAAATCATCAAAATGACTTATTATTTGGAAGCGAAATCTGCATGCTGCTGCCTGTTGTAAGGGATATGTTACTTACTGATGATTATGGAGGAGTGGGGGTTACTTACCGTGCATTGACAAATAATTATTAAACAAAAAAAAAGCCTCAAAAACTAAAACCAAGAGTGGGACTGCAGAGGATAATTGCAGAACTATTATCATAAATGCGTGTGTTTACCCAGAAAGCCTCAGCGAGCCTCAAAACCTTTTCAAGGAGTCTATGACATCTTTGTTGCCGTACAGGGTGATGTTGCAATGTACAATTCCAATTGACTACTATGAGCCAAGAATGTCTGTCCCACACGTGACGTCACTCCACGTCGACCAGCCCCCCTCATTAATAATCATGAACAGGTTAAGTCCTCCACATGGACACCCCCCCCTCCATTCATAATAATCATGAGCGGGTGACGTCACTCCACATGGGAGGGCGAGGCGCCTCTACCCCCTCCTCAGCGTCAACTTATAACCCTCACTATAAAGGCAGACCCTCACGTCATGCTGTTGAGACATCGAAGTAAAAAGGACGTCATGATGATCAAGGGATTATAACCTTAAAATGAACTAATCTGTGTCACCGCGGCCTTACAAATTGCACACGAATGGATGCAATGAAGATCACGTCGCAGTCTGCTTTTTGCTTGTAAGTTTCACAATTACTGCAATACACCAGTCCTTGGATGGGAAAAAGGCTAGTTGAGCAATAAGCAGACAATAACAATTCTGTTACATGTATTTTTTTAGCTATGAGAGGAAATCTGGCAGGCTGTGATTTAGAAGGATTTTAGTAGGATCTGAAATTCCCTGAGAAGTAAAGAGAAGAAATGTAAAAAAAAAATGTAGGAATTATGACCCTACTGTTGAGTTCACAACACTCTGGACGTGGCAGCAGTTGCTAGGATGGTGTCATCCACCACTCCCATTGCACTTGCCAATCAGCCGGCTCACTTGAGCTACAGCCAAGCCTGAGCTAAACTGTGACTAAGAATACTCAATTTAAAGCTTTCGTGACTGCAGGGATTCATCTTCTTGGTTCTTTCGGTAAAGTCATGTAGAAGGGACATAATAAAATAATAAAAATACAACATAATAAAATAATTCTCACGACGTTTCGGCCACAACGCAAGCAGCCGTCTTCAGGTGAAGAACAGGTCTGTTGGAAAGACAGCGTCTGAATGGGCACCACCAGGCTTGGCAGCGTATATTTAAGCTGGGTTGGAGGGGGAGGGGGCGCCTTGACAAAGGAATTTGCATATCAAGAGGAATTTAGCATATTTATGGGAAATGCAGATATGGGATTAGTCACCTCCTACGCATTCCACAAGTAGTGAAATGCCGCAGACCACGTTACACTGTAACGCTAGTCGTGACTTGGGGAGATGCGGCACTCACAGTGTAGTCGTCGAGCGGCTCGATGGAGAGGGGACGGCCGTACTTGGGCAGCGAGTGCGACGAGCTGCTGTCGTTGAGCATCAAAGGCCTGGGCACGGTGCGCAACGAGAGGGGGGAAGAGGTCATGTAAGGCGTAAGCAATGGGAAAGATATGATCACACAATGCTGCATTTACAACGATTTATTTTTGTTATTATTACACTTGTTAACCTAGAAGAGCACCACAGAGTATCAAGATAATTTTTCAGGAGGATCCTGACAAAGTTTTTGCAGACGGGGTGGCATTGCTACCCAAGTGGGTAATTTGCAGGTACATTTTCAGCATTGGGATGCTTGACCAATATCAGATAGATTGTATGTTTTTTTTTTGCTTTGGAAGGAAACCAGAGAACTCCAAAGAAACGCATGCTGAACAAGTGGAGAACATACAAAACTCCACACAGGACAGCACCCAAGTCAGGAATCGAACCCAGGACCTTCTTGCTGCAGCAAGACACTCGTGTGAACACTGCGCCACCACCCTGCCACTGCTAACGCTCTTCTAACACCCTCGGCTCAAGGGTCAACAATGGCAGAACTCACAGCTTCCGCTTGACCCCGATGACTCGATTTGACTGCACCAGGGAAACGAGGAATTGGATCAGCTGCACAGATGCACAAAGACGAAAGTTAATAGGAGCACTCCCATGATTATCCAAGACCAAAATTATTGACTAATTTAGTACATTTCATACGTGCGACATTCTTATAGTTATGGATTATCACAATCGGTAATAGTATCACAGTAAAGGGGCAATGATTGCGATGTATAATCACAATAAAATAATTTGTTAATTATTTTCAAAATTTAACTATTTTGGACCATGATGCCAGCACACATTTCCAACTCTTTTCAGATAACATCACAGGATATTTAACATCCACTGTGAAGCATACAGTATGGATATTATAGTCAATATACCCGCAGTAATGACCAGGGCGCCCTGCTGGACGTGAACTACAAACCTCTACAACAAGCGGTTAATGCGCGACCGCTGGGCCGTGTCACCATCCCGGGCTACAAGGGCTCCAGACTGGGCATGGGAGTTGTGGTGAATCACTCCTCCATTAATTTGATAAATTGTTGCAATTCAAGGTAGAAATTTTTTTTTTACATTGCTGTGAATATAGCGACCACTATCTTTGATAACTTCTTTCGCACCGTACATAACATAAGGCGCTAATCGGGGTAACATGAACTCTCGTGGCTGCAGGGGTGACGTGAACCCTTTAGATACAATATACACGTGATTGAACTCTTGTTTTTCCCAGCCAATATGATTCACAATGGAATTTACGAGTGGCCATGTAACAATTAGGACCCTCCACCACCCAAACCATAGCCAAACAAATGTCACTTGGTATACAAGCATTTAAGGCACCAGTTATTATGGTTTCACCTCACCGGTGAGTTGAAGTTTGGCACGTGAAATGCTTGTGCACATTTCATTAGTTTAATTTGTTTGGCTGTGTTGGATTTTACCACATTACAATGATAATTGATACACAATAGATGTATTATCATTGTAGCTGCACCCAGCCCTGTTGACACCTCAGCTCCTCACCTTATTCACCACCTTCTGCTGTTGCGCATGCTTCTGGCGCAGAGAGGCAACTTCTCTCCAAAGAGCCTCATTCTCCCTGACACAGAACACACACAATATGCACATAACGTGAGCAAAGTCAAATTATGGGATTCTTTAAAGTCGCCAATTACATGGTGGCACAGTGGTAACATTTCTGTCTAAAACCAATAAGGGTTTGGGTTCGATTCCTGACTCGGATGCCTTTCTGTGTGGAGCTTGTATGTTCTTCCCCTATAATGCATGGATCACCTCCAGGTTCTCTGGTTACTTCCCATAGCTAAAAAGAAAAACATATTGTAACCAGTCCATAATAGAGGTTTTTGGGTTAGATCGTGTAAATATATAAATGTGTCGTTAAAACCGCCACCAAGCGACACAGCCAACTAGTAAGGGTTGCCACGTCAACAGAACGTGGCCAATTCGTTACGAGTACAGCACGAACCGGTGTGTTGGAGAGCCAAGCCACAACATTTACAATCTGAGTACGACGTTTCACCTGTAATTACAACTAGCTTCATCAGGCAGGAATTCATATTCTTTGGGTCTTTCGGTAAAGTCACGTTTTTTTTTTCTTTGAACCTATCTAGGTGACTTTACCAAAAGACCCAACGAATATTGTGAAGTCTTACTGTTTCGTTCCTTATATAGAGGCATAGGTGTGGTGACCACGCTTCTGCGCTCTTGCACAATGTGGAGGGGGGGGGTTACTGAGGCAACGAACATTATGCATGTATATTATACGAGCACTTTCAACTTGTCCTTCCTGTCTATTGTGTTAATTAAAATAGCCTGACCAACGGCAATACCTATTGAAGTACGCTGCCCTTTGTAGGCATGTATTTAACTAATGTATTATTTTATTATTCTCTTCCACGCAGCACTAAGCCGGTAGCTATCTGAACGGTTAAAGTTATTTTGATTTATTTTTATTTCGATAGATTATCTAATTAGTCTTGGCCAGTCGTAGCTAGTTTTGCACAATACTTCCACATTATCAACATCAATTGAGTGTCCTTGTTGGGACGCGCGTTCTGCTCTTGCTGACAGTTATATTTGGGAAAATGTAATATTCCTCTGATGTTCTTTTAGTCTCGTGCTGATCATTCGTCCTGTTTGCCCAACATCACATTTACCACCCGTGCAGTTAATCCTGTACACACCTTCAGCAGCCAAGGATGTGGGGGCACCCGACGAGTAATTGACCATAAAAATGTTGTCAATTACATTTATTAGTCGATTAATCGACTTAATCGACGAATCAACACCTCAGCTCTACGCTGTACATTACTTTTTTTATTATATGTATATAAAGACAAACTTTGCAGCCTATTTATTAAGTTAGTTTCGAAACTCTTTGGTTCTTTCGGTAAAGTCACGTAGGAGTATGGATTCCTGCAGTCACGAGAGCAGCAAATCAAAGTGATTTTCTGTAATTTACTTGATTGCTCGCATTTATGACACTTGTTTAACCAGGAAGCCTCAAGACTCTTTACCAAACTCGTCCTGCATGTTTTCAAAGGAGGGGGTGATGTTGTTATGTATGATCCAAATTTAGTCATTTGCAGGTAATTTTTCAGCACTGGTATGTTTGACCAATACCAGTTACATTGCATTGTTCTTTAGCTATGGGAGGAAACTAAACCCAGAGGAAACCCATGTGCAGTGCTCACTAATTGAACAAGGACAGAATTAGAATCCACCTCCTCCTGTGCTGAAATGCAAAACCTGATTCCTTCCACGACAACTTTCCATTCATGAGGTCCAACTTTGCTACAACACTGTCACATCCACTCATCTCGTCTGGAACCGTATCCAGCTTCTGTTCACGTTTGCATTTCCCCCCACATGTTACTGTACTGCAAATGAATAATTTAACAGATGATATGTGTTCTTATTATTATTATAATGATTACAGGCAGCCCCCGGGTTAGGGAAGGGTTAGAGGTTCCTGAGAATTATCCATAACCCGATTTTTCCGAATGTCTCCGTACTGTATCGCGCATGGTTAGCAGGTAAGGGGTGGAAACCCTGAGGAGGTGCACTGGGCCGTCCATAATGCAGAGTTGTGTGTGGGAGAATAAGGGGGGAGATGGTCCAACTCTGGGAGAGTAGGAGAGGTGGTGTATGACCCCCCAAAGCTTGTGTGAGTCTCGGGAAAGCTAGGAACACTGTAGGTGTGATTAGATGAGTGTTTTTTTTATTTTGTTGGTTTTATTTTCTTTGTGGTAGCCTGCTACCAGGCTATAACTCCTCTGCTTGGGGTGGTTGGTCTCAGCTCATGTAGGAATAAAAACTGACATCCCTAACAGCCAGGTCTGAGTGGTCCAACACCAGCTCCGCAGCCCTGGTGGAAAGGCAACGTGATAACTCTGTTTAAGCTGCTTTGGCTGCATGCCAGCGTGTCTGTGGTTTCCCACACCTCTGAATCATTCTCTCCCAAAATAGTCCCACCTGAAAAAAGTCCAACTGTACAAAAGAGCCCCACTGTACAAAAAAGTCCCAATGTTTAAAACAATCCCACTGTTGAGTACAGAAACTTGACATGCATTCGCAATAAGACCCAATACAAATCCCTATTCTCTTGCAATTGCACTCTTTTATTATGTACATTAAATTAATTTCTGCACCACAACACTGTAAATCATGTATGTCTGCCGAAAATTGTACATTTCATGCCATTGAGTATCTTGGTGGTAAATAAGGCAAATTGGGCCATGACATCGGGACACAATTGTCTACTATTTTCGAATGGCATCAGGGGACCTTTAATGTCTACTATGAAGCAGACGATGTGCATTTTTTTGGTTATTCACCTGTATGTATGTTGACCTTCTTTCTCACCGTACATAGCCAACCATGCTAATTGGAGGTGCAGTATTAACAAAGGCAGCCCTGCCTGATGCGAACCACTAACCTAAACAACAAGGATTCATGTGCTTTCGATGGGCCTCGTCACTGCCCAAACATCAATGGAAAGGAAGGCGGGAACTCACATTTTCATGGTGTTGAGTCGGTTGTCCATATTCTCCTGCCTCCCGCGAATCTGCTGGACGTCGCTTATGATCCTGCCCATGTCTCCCTGCTGCACACGCATATCCTCAGGCTTCACTGCTGAGACCTACAGGCGAGAAGTAAGCACATGTGTCAAGATCATTGTTTAATGTTTAGATTTCAATACAATCGTGCTTTTGGAGTTAAATGTCAAAATACGTTTTAACATCTTTATTTATGTAATGCGGCCAGCAACACAATACAGCAATCCCTGAATACAACACGAAGGAATGACTCCAGGAGACATTTGGGGGGTGGCAGGTTGACACAGTGGTAACACTCGTGCGTGGAGTTTATATGTTCTCCCCCTGTTCTGCTTTGGTTTCTTATGGATTCTTGGGTTTCTGCTCATAACCTCAACATATATACTCTGTAACCGGTATTGGCCAAACATCCCAATGTGGAAAAATTACCTGCAAATTGCTCAATTGGGATGCACACAGCAGCAACAGCAGCACTACTGCGCATACTTGGAAGGACCCTCCTGAAAAGAGTCTTGGGACTCGGTGAGGCTTATCGGGGTAAACAAGCATGCATAAAATACATATTATACCAAAATTGCATGTATGAAATGTGTGGTTTTTATATATATAGAAGCGGGAAGTACCCGGCGTTGCCCGGGCAAAAAAAATATTTCAAAACTACTCTTAAAAACCTTACATATACATACACAGATACCAAGCAATTGTGAAAGGCCGGTGGGCCATTATGATATAAGGCTTACACTCGCACAGTTGGTAGGTCATTGAGTTTAAAGTGGCAGCATTTCACGATGAGATACCTCAACTATTTTAAGCATTCAGAACCGTGCAAGACAGATCATAGATCCAATGCTGGCAAGCCTTGGCAAGCCTTGGCAAGCCTTGTTGATATTTGAAAAAGTGGATTCAAATTTTGGCCATAAACGTGTCAGCGAATCAGTTTTTCAAGGGAAACATTGCAAAACGTACAACATAACAATGAACAGTCATAACACTTCGGTTTAAGGAGCCAACATTATGATTCATAATATATTTGTGGGTTAGGCCATTCAATTATCTGACTAAATCCACACATTGAAATGTTGTGGATTTTGCTCTCCCAACACACCGGTTAGTGCTGTACTAGTAACGAATTGGCACGTTTTGTTTACGTGACAAACCTTACTAATTGGCTGTGTCGGGTGGTGGCAGGTTTAACGACCCATTTACATTATGCGACCTCCTTTGCCAGTAGCAAGATATAGTAACAGGTTTTTACCCTTTTATCTGGCAACGAAACTGAGACCTTTATACAAGGAATCATGTTTGCATTAACCACAACACTTGCAGTCAAAATGCAAACAAAAAAGACAACTCTGATAATGTATGCACCGTCTCATAATGTAAATGCTTCCCCCAGCTCTCAATAATCTGATGGTGCGTTATCTTTGAGTTGTGCGCCTTTTGGCGTCATCTGGTCCAACACCATGTCAGACTAGGCTCTAAGAAAAGCTGTCTCGGGTGTGGACCAATCAATTTCAAGGACAGTGCATACATTATCAGAGTTGTCTTTTTTGTTTGCATTTTGACTGCAAGTCTTGTGGTTAATGCAAACATGATCCCTTGTATAAAGGTGTCCGTTTTGTTGCCAGATAAAAGGGTAAAAACATTCCGACACATTTACATTTACACGATCTAACCCAAAAAACCTATATATTATGGATATTGGTCGCGAAAGCCAACGTTATAAACCGACAAACACACTGTCTCGTGTACAAGCGTTTCTCGCGGAAATTGCTGTCGATTCATCTCACTGGTTGACTTGAATACCAATCTTGACAACCAAAGTCGGCAATTAGAGATACGCGACGTGTCATTGGAAACAGTGTCAAACATCACCAGGATAAGAACCAAGAAGTCCGAATCACCGAGTCACCTGACCCAGTTTCTTCAATAGATTTCGTGTTGGGGTCTTAACAACACGGATTTTATCAGATTATTACGTTTTCTTAGATTATTACGTGGCTCAACCTGAGAATCAACGTTGAATCATACATGTTTACGGATTCTGTAACACAGTCCAACATGCAATTGCCCTCAGAACATTGAGTATTTCAATGAATGTGTCTAATCCGTGATGACATATGAATCTAAATATGGGCGTTAATGAAGTGGAAAGTGTGAAAAGTATAGATAAATGTAAGCTTGGAATTACAATGAGAGAAAGGGGAACGCATGGATTCAATAAAATATGGCATAATTCAAACTGTTCCACTGCACGATTGTGAGAGGTGGTGGTGGCTTGGGGAGACCTTCATTCAGCAGTGGATTGACCACCGTGGATTATGATAAAGTGAATAAGAAATTAACTGATATTGCATTGATATGGTTGCATTATCATATACGATACCCTGTTTACAATTGTAATTTGGACTGATGGAATTGTTCTATTTCAGATTAAACGGTTTCTATTATTTCTGTAGGTCAGGTGGGTTTTCTGCCTAATTAATAGTAACTCGCTTCTTTGCCCGTCCTAGGACGAAAGCTGTAATATTTACGAAAAAATTGAGCAGAGTATCATTGTATCTTGTGTAAATTTAATGGCCATGAATCTTGCACTAAAGTATGTCATCAAACACTTCACTACATTTCACTGTAGCACTGTATTAATAGCAGTGAATCTGCCACAAAACGAAGTCATATAACACTTCACTGCAGTTCACTGTAGCACTTTATTAATGGCAGTGATTCTTGCACAAAACTACGTCATAAAATACCTCAATTCATGTCACTAGCACTGTATATAACTGACCTTCAATTTGTTCTAATTTACTCTTCTGATTCTTTATTCTCTTCTACTTTCGGTCGCTGGGGTTAAGTAAATTGGAAATCGATACAATATCTGGAAAAGAAATGTCTATTTTAGCATAATGTAAAAGCATAAATTAGACCTACCTTTCGTCTCAAGTGCTGAAGAAATAAATAAAGACACCAAATCCACTTTGTCGCTGCGTAGAATTATTTATTAGATTCACTTTCAATAAAGAAACGTGAAACTTAAAGCGAATTTGCGAAAAAAAATTCCGCTCGACCTTTTTCTGCGTGAGTGTAAAAATCCACCCGCTCATGAATATTAATGACAGGGGTGGGTGCGGCATGTGGAGTGATGTCACGTGCAGGAAACACAAATAGACAGTCTTGGCTCATTATAGTAGTAATTATGCTTGTCAGGAATCGAACCTAGGCTTTTCGTTGTGAGGCACAAGTATTCCCACTGCATCACCCTACCTAAATTGTGAAATGCGCAAACAAAAATAACTCAAAATATTCTATGGTGCGCTGGTATCTGCTGTTTGCTATGCTCTGCATTGGGTAGATAATAAACAAGGGGACATGTCGCATGTTAGCATCACTGCTGGATATACAAAGGTGGCTAGGTGTGCTGTGCAAACGTCTACAAGGTCAATGGGCTGACCCTGGTCATGGTGCGTGTGAAATTGAACTTTGATAGTGTAATGAGAAAATCAAGGGTGACCTACTTTCATGCGCAACATCACACACAAGAAAGTAGGTTACCCTTCATTGCAGTCACTGGTAAACAACGAAAGAGCACACATCTGGTGATAAAGCAGTCAAAATGATTGATTAATACTTTTTACCATGCCACACGACCTGCCATAAAGCCCTCATTAATAGTAACTCAGATTACATTTTAATACTACAATTTCCTGCACACAGCGAGATAAAACACAAGCAACAAGGCAGCCACATCATGTAGGCAAGCAATGTTTCTGCTAAAATTACCGTATTTTCCCGCATATAACCCGCGGGGTAGACCACTTTTTACAAACAAAACAAGACCCTGCGGGGTATATGGAGGTGCGGGCTATCCCAAACATATTTTACATGTGTAGGGGTTATTACGGGAGAAACGGCGGACGAGAAACACAGAGGTGTGTGCACTCACACACACGGGTGGTCGCACCGACGTCCGCATCCGTGATCCCCCACGCCCCCAAGCCCTCTGAGGGGATCCCTATAAAAGGCGGGGAGCCAGAGAGCTCGAGGCAGTACGACACGAAGCTGACGAGTGAAGATCGAAGACTCGGAGATTAGGCCCTGGGACTCCCCTGTCTCGCTGCCCTTGTCAGGGCCGAGCTGGGTAAGCCAGCGGCGCGGCCCAAGAGCTCCCGGACCTCTGCCCTTGTCAGGGCAAGGCCGTCTTAGCTGGTGCCGAGATCTGTGCTTGCCAGGGCCAGATCAGTCAGCCTCCCGTGGCCCAGTAGAGGAGGACTGGGGAACAGGACAGAGGGCATAGTACTAGGGTGGGTTTCCCATAGTACGGGTGAAGGGGCCGTTACCCCTTCAACTATTGTGCCTGTCACTGAGTTAATAAACAGAGTGTGCCTCAACTCCGACCTCGTCTCCTCGAACTTACTACATCTGGCGTCAGAAGTGGTCCAAGCATGGATACGAGACGGACGACTCGTGCCCAAGACCCAGGAGAGGATGACGACGAGGGAGAGGCGGTGCAAGACGTCGCCGCCGGCGTACCTGCACAACCGCTGCCGGCTCCAACACCTGCGGGGTCGTCGGAGAGGCTCGGGACGTCGGCTGACGAGTTGGCGTTGGCCCACTCGCGACTGGCGGAGCTCCTGTATGCAGCGGCCGCCATGCTGGAGCGGATAACTCGCCTGGGGCCGGAAGGAGCGACGCGGCGGGAAGATGGACAACGCCCGCCAGAAACTCCCGCCTTTGCGATGGGCGGGAGGCTTGAAATTCCCGCCACGGGGACAGTAGGGGCCGAGGGAGGGGCCCCAGCTCGTCATGCGGGTGGCGGGGCCCAACCAGCGGGCGCCACGTCATCGGCGGGGGCGGGTCGCAGTGGCTGCCTATCAGGGGTTGCCACGTCACCACCAGTAGACGCCGGCACCGACCAAGCTGGAACCAGCGCGTCACGGACGGTGCGACCTCCAGTAGGGGCCGCCATTGCTCATACTGTCCATGGGGACAGTATGAGTGCTGCGACAGGATCGGGGACGGAGCCGACATTTCAACAACGCCTGCCCGCCCTGCAGGTGTTCGTAGCAAGCGGCGGCGATTGGGG